GCCTTCGTTTGGTAACATCGATACACGAGCTGCCCAAGGTGCTTCCAGGTGAGGAAACAATGAAAAGACAAACCCTTTTCAAGCTTATTCTCTTGCCGGTCGTGCGATCGAACATTGCAGCCGACCACACAGCAAGAACGAACCATGGCTGTTGTGTGTGCCTTCGCTCCTTTTTCACTTGCACTTTGTTTAGACCCCCAAAATGGCGGATTGGGCCAAAATCCTTTCCACGCCCACCCCCGTGACATCACGCTCCAAAGCCCTATTAGATTTTATATATTTTCCCTTCTTACACTTATTTTATAATTAACAGTGTTTTTGCACAAAAAAGGTGATTCCCAAAAAGACACAAACTTTCCACATGTAGGCATGCTGTGCCAGAAGCTCTTTGAAGGTTTGAAGAAACTGGACCAAAAGGAGACAAACGCAGCGCTAAATGTGTCAAAAGCAATAGGAAATAAATCAGCAGTGACTGTACAAGAGACCTGAGAGATGGCGTCCAGTTGTTCCATCTTCTGTTTGCCAAAGTCTGATCACAAAGGGTGTAAATGGTCAGGTGGCTGTCAACAGGTCTTAATGAAGGGAAACAGTGAGAATAGGCTGAGTTATGCCAAACTCCACAAGAACTGGACAGGAAACTAGTGGTGAAAGGTCCAGAGACGAGAGAACAGAACAAAATGCAATCAACAAGAGATGTCCTCATGCAAGTCAGGGAATCTCATTGCAGCAGTGGGACAAACTCATCCTTCTTTAGTCTTGAGCAAGAAAGCATACCCAATGGAGTTCAGGCTGTGTTGGAGAATAAAGGTGAGCACACCTGACTTTCTGACTGACTTTCAAGCTGTTTTTGCATAATATAAAAAATTTTATGCAGCCATCAGATGTATTTTTCATCCATAGCTACAAGGCTTTCTTCTTTATTAAACTTTGAAATAAAACTGTCAGGTGCATGAATTTGTAACTAACAGTGAAACAGACGATAACCATGATGTCGAATTCATCTGTGTTCTGCCTTTACAAGGGCATTGCACCAAGCGAAGGACTGATGAAACTAATACACCAGTTCCTGCTTAAACAAAGTGACAAACAAAGATTTGGGAATTTGTGTGTGTGTGTGTGTGTGTGTGTGTGTGTGTGTGTGTGTGTGTGTGTGTGTGTGTGTGTGTGTATCTGAATCATGTGAAAGAGAACAAGGTCTGTCAAGTGTGTTAATGTGTGTAACTGGGTATTTAGTTATTAGCTTTCTTTGTTGCTCCTCTTAATTTGATTCTTCTTTAACACAAACTGGCCCGACACAGCGCTGCTCACTCCAGGCTCAATGTGCAATCAAGTTAACTGTACAAAATGTGAAGGAAATATGAAAGAGTATATAAAACACAAAGCCAAGAATGAGTATGCAAATGAGGCAGTGCAATGCTGACAAAAATCCATGAATGCATAATTAATACACTTAATCGCTCCCATGAAATGGGTCAAGCTTTTAACTTTGCATATGTCAAAGCAGCTGCTTTACTGTAATGTTTGTTCCCATAGCCTGCTGACTGACAAAGTGATTGTTTTCTTCTATTTATTCTTTCAGATATTATAAATGAGAATACAGAGGAATATGTAATCGCCTACAGATTGAACACTGGGGACAGAATCACAAGATCCAAATGCTAAACATTAACTGTTATATGTGAGGTGACGTGTTTGTCGCATGAAGCCAAGTAAAAAGATTTGTAGGACTGAAAAATAACTTTGGGCTCCACACTTGTTTGTAACCCAGTGTTGATCTGCAGTACACCCCTGTGTTTCCACCCTTGGTTTAATTAGGTTGCTTCATTATTAGTCTGAATGCAACAGCTCACTGAGAGTCTTCAAAAGTTGATTCTGTCCATCTGGACGTAGCAGAGGTTGGCACTTAACAGATGGTACATCCGTCACCATCTTATAATGCTGTGATTGCAGCCATTCCCCAACTCTCTGTGAATGGTACTCATGACCATTGATCAATAATTGTTGATCAATGGTCATGAGAATTTGCATAATCATGATGAAGGAACTTACCTCCCAGCCCATTGTTCCTGCAGTCAGCTGAGACTGAAGAAGTCACCTGGATGAGTGACGAAACGTTTCTCCCACAAAACGCTACGTCCAGATGAACAGAATCAATGTTTGGAGATTTACTTACCTGGATGATTGAGAATGCATCAGGAAGCTCACTGAGAGGTGTAAGGCCTTCTCTTTCTTTTGTTTGTTCTTGGGCTCCCACTTTTCTTTCCTTCTCTGTATTTATGAAGAACACTACAGCCACTTTGTGGCATCTTTTACACTGTATACACTGTAATTCCAGCCGTGCAGGTAATATACAGACATAACATTTATCAAAAATATTAAACAATTTAACACTAAATTGCTCGTGATGTCTGTAAGCGTCTACACATGAACCTAAGATGATACACGATCATATACATTGGAAAAAATGTTTCTCACGATTAGGCAAATAAGCGAATGATTTCTTCGTGCTCCAAAATGTGAAGAGTCGTTGTTTTTGAACAGAGTGCTCAAAATTCTGCTTTCTTCCAATTAAGGAGAAAGTAAGTAGCATACACTGAGCCACCATTTGTAGAAGTGTGAATTGGGAACACACTACTAAATCTGAATTCATTCAAATGTTTACACCAGCAAATGAAAGCCAAATATTTGCCTAATTATCCCAGATGCTGTCTTGATCAACAGAAGGAAGAGACAAAGAGTGAGACAGAAATGCAGAATAAATTGCATTCTTTAGTGATGCATGATAGATAAGCTTTTTTCTAAACAGTGAGATGACACAAACGTAATCTTCGTGAGATATGCTCCATGTGAAACGAACCATTACAAAGTTATAGCTAAGATATTTGGATAGAGAACACCCACTGATGCTTTGTACAATGGAGGAAATCAATATTTGATTGTTAATACATGTTAATGTTAATACATGTTAATATAAGTGTGTGAGTGCAAACATTAGTAAGACATGTAAAATGATTAGTTTTATCTTCATTTATAAATTAATTTATATGAATTACTTTTCTCATCTTTTTCCATTTTTATCAAGTTTTCTTATCTGTAAACACACAAACACATGCGTGGCCTTAAGTACGCACAAGATCATCAGATTTATTATTTTTTAAAATAACAATGACAAGTTCTCAGTTTTCATTATTGGACAAAGAGCCCTACACATTTTATAAGAACAGACTACACAATACCAAATAATTTTACCGTTAGTGTTTGAGAGCTAATCATGAAAGAGTCTGAAAACGTTTATTCTGTTACATGTTTGTTTGCCATAAAAAGAAAAGGCTGCCAGTGTGAATTCTCTTAGTGTGCTTTTGCTTTTCTTGTAGATAAAGAGCATGTGATGACTCCAAATGAAACCTGAATACCCCAATCAGACTCTGAGAAGCAATAATGTGATGATGAAAGGATTGCAGTATCAAAGCAGAAGTCAGAGTAGAGTGATTGGGGAGCGGGGCTCACTTTCTTAATCTGCCAAGGACTACAGTGCACAAATGGGAAAGAGGCCAGAGAAAAGTCACCAAACAAGGAACTAAAATGAAGAAAGATGGAGGCCTGAAACAGGGATAAGAAGGTGTGCAAACCAAAGCATGATCATAAGAAAAACAAAGAAAAATGAGTTGCTGAAGGCAGTTTCTACCTTTTTTAGATACTCTTTGGATATAGAGGTGTCACACTGATTTGTTGTGTACTGTACTCATGTTCGGCTTGACTGCTGATAAATCGTTCATTGAGAGATTTTGAATATCTTTGTGAGTCCTGAAACAACAAAATCGGTAAGGAGAGAAAAAGAAAGACTCTTTTTTAAAAAAAATAAGAAGTCAGTCACCAAATACTGACCTTCACAAGTGACACTAGCATGATCGTCCCCTGATCAGGGTCAGCTGGAGGATCACACAGCAACAGCAGGAAGTAGAGCAGTGAATGTAGGCTCTATATGACATATAGCAGTAGTTCCCAAACTACCGTACGCGTACCCTCAGGGGTACGCAAGTGGCTGTAGGGGGTACGCGTGGGTTGGGGTTGGAGTGGGGATCAAAAGTTTTAAAAGCCGAAATTTGCGCTAATGCAGTTTTATTTGCCTGTCAAATACATGACTATATACCACCCTCTGGTGTTCAGCAAAAAAATAGCTCTGACAAAATACATGGGCGTGATTTGCCCAAATGACTGACACCTAACAGTTGAAGTTGCCTCCAAGCATTCAGTGCAGCGCGAAAATGGACAAGTGGTTAACAAGAAAAAAAGGCCCTACCACAGAGACACCGGCCACAACAACCAATAAGCTCATATCTGAAGATGCATTTTCCAGTGACCGCACAGGTGATTGTTCAACAACAATGTGTTCGTCAGATTTGGATGCTAGCAGTGCTAGCAGGGATGTATCTGTGGTTACTAGCCAAGTGGCTAACATAGCTGGAGCCAGCCATGTGGAAAGTGATGAAGTGTCTGATGCAGAGCGTCAAAGTGGGAGAAAGCATGACAGCTCGGACTGTAACACAACCTCATCAAAGAAGCGCAAATATGATGACAATTATATTTCGCTGGGGTTTACGTGTATAAATATTGGTGGATTTCCCCAGCCACAGTGTGTTATTTGTGCAAAAGTATTGTCTCAGAACTCAATGAAACCTTCACTTTTGCGCAGACATTTAGAGACAAATCATCCCCATTTGAAAAATAAACCAAGGGAATATTTTGAGCGACAGCTAAAATCACTTTCAACAAGTAAAACCTGCATTCAGGTGCCAGATCTTATGAATAAAAACAGACTACAAGCATCGTACATGGTCAGTTACAGAGTGGCTAAAAACAACAAACCCCACACTATTGTGGAGGACCTCATTCTCCCTGCTGCTTTAGATATGGTAGGGACAATGTTGGGGGAAAAGGCAAAAAAGACGATACAGTCCATTCCATCATCAAACAATACTGTCTCACGGCGCATCAATGCAATGTCAGAAAATGTTTTACAGCAGCTACTTCTGCGCATACGCCACAGTGAATGTTATGCAATACAGCTAGATGAGTCCACGGATGTGGCTGGCCTGGCGCATCTTCTCGTATATGTGCGCTACATTCATGAAGGAACCATCAAGGAGGACATGCTGTTCTGTAAACCACTGGAACAAAGGACAACTGCCGCAGATATTTTTCAAAAGCTGGACACATTCATGAACACACATGGACTCGTGTGGGACAGATGTGTTGGCATCTGTACTGATGGCGCACGGGCCATGACTGGGAGACACGGAGGTGTGGTTTCGCGTGTGCAAGCAGTCGCGCCAGATGCCTCCTGGGTACACTGCAGCATCCACCGAGAGGCTCTTGCTGCAAAGGGAATACCTGTCCGTTTGAAACATGTTTTGGACACGAGTGTAAAAATGGTTAACTTTGTGAAAGCCAGGCCGCTGAACTCCCGCTTATTTGCTGCGTTGTGCAATGAGATGGGCAGCGAGCATGAGACATTATTACTCCACACAGAGGTTCGCTGGCTATCTAGAGGGAAAGTGCTGACCCGTTTCTTTGAGTTGAGGGATGAACTTAAAGTTTTCTTCAGTAACCATCCCTTTGAGCTGTCTGAACATTTGCATGATGAAGAGTACCTTACCTGCCTGGCTTATCTGTGTGATATATTTTCTCGTCTGAACGAGCTCAATCTCGGATTACAAGGCGTTTCTGCAACTATATTCAATGTTCAAGATAAAGTTGAGGCCATGATAAAGAAGTTAAACCTTTGGAAGAACTGCTTGGATACAAACAACACTGAAGTCTTTCCTGTGCTGCATGATTTTCTGTGCTCTAATGATCTCACACTATCTAAAAGTGTAAAGCGCGAATGTAACGTGCACCTTGAGGAGCTGGCGGTGCAGTTACACCGATACTTCCCAGAGACGGACGGCTCAAATGATTGGATACGTCACCCGTTCACCGCTGTGCCTACTTCGTTATCACCGTCTGACCAGGAGAGCCTAATTGAAATTGCCACAGATGGATCTCTAAAAGTTGAACACGCTCAAAAGAACCTGGCGGATTTCTGGATAGCGCTGTCAAGACTCTGATGCCTTTCGCCACCACATACTTATGCGAAAGGGGATTTTCTGCTTTAACAAACATGAAAACAAAATACAGAGCAAGACTTTGTGTGGAAAACGATTTAAGACTCAGCCTTTCCCAAATTGAGCCAAACATTGAAGAGCTGTGTGCCTCTGCTCAAGCACATCCATCACATTAAATAAAGTTCTGTTTAATGAAAGTTCATGGCCTTTATGCACTCGACAAAAAAGTGAATTCTAATAAATCCTTTGATACACTGCTAGTATTAAGTAGTAAAGTTTGTTATTAAAACTCTGTCATTACTAAAAAATATTGATAAATTTATTTGGTGGTGAGAAATAATCGACTGTGCAGTATTTATTTTTATGCATGCGATATTGCAATGTATTTATAGACACTAATTAAGAGTCATTCGTAGTAGGGGGTATGCGGCTGAGGGTGACATGTCTCAAGGGGTACGTGGCTGGAAAAAGTTTGGGAAGCACTGACATATAGAATTCTTACTGTGTTTGGGGATTTTTGTTAAGAGGAAAAAGCAGCAGGGTTTGAGAAACAGGGGCTCTTTTTTCTGGTTACAATAAGTCTAGACCTCGATCTAACTGGGCATCACATGTTCCAGGAGGGACACCAGAGGATTCCCAAGACAGCTGACAAACAGGATCTCGTTTTTTCTCTTTTCAGCTGTTCTTTGTTTTTTGTATGTTTGTTTTCTTATAGCTACAGCAGTCGGAGAAGCACTTTCACTTATGCGCCCTCATAGTTTTTTCATGTATTTTCTCCCCTTCGCTTTGTTCCTGCCTTTTAACACTGCATCACCATATTACACATACACTTACAAATAATAACAGAAAGAAAAAAGTAAAAACACAAACAAGAGGAGCCTTTACAGGGTCTATAGAGCTCATCTCGAAAAAGCAAATAAGTACAACAATGCACTCAGATCCTGATACTGACTGCAAGAGCTGCCAGGCACGAAGGCATTAAAAAAGTTGATTCTAATAATAAAGACAACCAGCCATTCAAGCGCTGAAGGTGAAAATGATCTTGAACGATTATTGTCTACATTTAGTCACTGAGCGTAGTAGAGCAAATTAATTAAAAAAATCTTGACTTTTTCTTGATTTTTTGACCCTTTTAAAAACAAAGTTTTTTGTTTACAGCCCACCTAAGTAGAGACAATTTGTTGTTGTTTTTACAGCTGATCCATTGTAAAAAAAAAACCCCAAAACAAACAAATTTTGATAGATTATTTAAACAAACAGTAACGCTTTTGTCAATTCTTTATCTATTCCTTAATTACTCTGGAGAAGCAGGAACGGCTGTGGAGGAGGTCTTTATTAAAATGTAAAATACAGTTCAAAGTCATATATTTATGCTCTCCTTCACATTTTCCAGCAGGCCAGATTGGAGTCCTTTTCTGTCCAGGTCTAGCACACTGGCCTTATGTTTGGCACCCCTGCTACAAAAATGTCTTTTTGCTCAGTACGATGGCTCTCTGCATCCTGAAAGCTTTTTTAAGAAAGGAAGAGTTGAACACCTTTATGGTACTGAGCAGGTACATGTTTTTATTTGAATGATCAGCAACCTTTTTCTTCCAGCATGCCCAGAGGAACTCCTGCACTTCAACTAAAACTGTAAGTTTTTTTTTTCCAATCCATCTGAGAAGAAGTTATGTGGAGACCTCCAGAGGCTACCAGAATGTTTTTGATTTTTGCTTTGCAGACAAAGGGAAACAGTCTCTCATGTTCTCTGACAAAGACAAAGCCCTGCAACCAGCTCTGAAATAAGCCTAAAAATCAATATGAGATTCAAGGCCAAACACAGCAAGTAGCACATTCTGATTGCTGACAGTAATAATTCTTTGCACAGATATGCTTCGACTTCCCCTGACAGTCACAGAGACCGCGGCGCCATGAGAACGCCACATCAATCCTCTGCTGTAAACATGTGGATGCACTGTTATTCCATTTTCTATATGAAGAATTCATTCCATTGCCCATACCTATGTGTCAGAGCAGCAGGGTTTATGCTGGTTAAGTGCGACTAGTTTAAATCCCCAAGTGAGCTGAAAGCTACAAGCAGAGAATGTGACATGAATAGCATCCATCCCTTTAAGCAGCTGCTGTGGAGGCGCTCGTCCTAAAGTTTAACATTAGACAGAAGAAGACTTCGAAATCTTGTGTTTAAGCGTTCAGATGCAAAAGCCTCTAAATCTCTGTGGAAACAAAACAGAAAGTGATATCAGGCAATTGTTACACTGTTGAAATG